TAATAGTTGCATGTTGTGCTTGCGAAGCGGCTACACCAGAATAACTTTGAAGTTGTGTAGTATTAGGAATATATTTATTATTTATTTCTTGCCTTGAAGATTTTGATAACGAAGGAAAATTTATGTTCATGTTGTCGTTAATATTAAATGAATTTTTATTGAAAATTACTTTTGAATTTTGAGGTTTATTTTTCAGACGGATGTATTGCAATCTGTTTGAACATTCTGGATCATTTGCTGTGTGCTTACCTTTGCAGTTGATGCATGAAATTTTAGTTTTGTCTGGACAATCGGTGGTTTTGTGATTACCAGAACAATAGGCGCAGTAAGAACTTATATTGCAGTTTTTCGCTCCATGTCCATACATTTGGCAGTTATGACACTGCGTGATTTTGCCAGGATGATCAAATTTTTTTGTCCACTTAACTTTAGTGCGATTTATATAGCAATGTTTTGTGTTTAATTCTTGGACGTTTACTGTATTTCTTTCAAAATAAACAATGTAAAAGAAGTATTTTATGCCGGCGTCGGTCATTTTTTCTATTAACTTTACGTTTAAGCATTTTAAATTTTTAGAAATAAGATCTTGTTTTACTTCCACTTCACTGATTTTATCTAATCTGGACAAAATTACCTTAAATGGCTTTTCATTTTTTAAATCATGGTAAAAATATTCACAATTTTTAGATTTCAACAAAGTTATTGTTTTTTCAAAAGATTCTATAGATTTAAAGAAAATTTTTATTCCTATTGATATAACCTTAATATAATAATCATTGATTTTATTTTCACTTAATAATTTATGAATAAATTCTGAATTATTTCTCACCAGTGTTAATGGTGGTATTTTAATTATTTTTTGATTGTCTGAATTATGATTCATTTCGTCAATGTTATCATTATCAATTGCACTTTGTGTTTGTAATGGCAAGATGTTAAACAGGTTTTTTGATTTCACTGAATGTTTTGTTAGTTGTGTGTCAACTATGTTGACCACGTTTTTACTTTTTTTTTGCTTTTTTGGCATAATAAAATTATTATTTGCAATGAGTAGACACTCATCGCTATTATATGACCTAATTCTTTTTTTGTTTATTTTATTTATTTAAGTATAAATTAGAGATGAAAATTTTAATAATAATTATTATGTACAAGTATATATTATATGGTTTATTTATCAATTTAGTTTATATTTATAACAAAGGATTAGAACGTGCGTATCCACCGAGTAGTATACTGATACTCCTTTAAATAATAAAATTGGAATTTTAAAGATTTTCTTCAATCTTAAGCATTGCAGTCGTATTACTTTCCCACAGAGGGGTTTTCGACTACTGAAATGATCATTCGTAAAGTTATGTGGAACACATATGCTACGTTTTACAATAGAATTACAAGTTTCAAGTAGAAAACCTTTCCTGCTTAAAAATTCAAGTTTAATTTACGCACTCATAACTTTTATTGTACATGATTGATTTTATTTTTTTTTTCAACTTATATAGAATATTTAATTTTAAATAAGAAGAAATTTATACAATATATTTGACCTTAAATTGACCTTATCGCTCCCTACTTGACTAACACATCTTAATAAATTTCAAAATAAAATAATATTTTAAATTTTTTTTCTTATTTCTCTTGGTTTTGCCTACGAGCTATATGCAAATTACAATAAAATGCATTTTATGAATTTTACTTTTAATAAACCATTCCCATACTATAGAATCCTTTTTGAAATGAAATTTTTTTCTTTATATATCTAAAACATTTAAATTGGAAACTATTTACGAAAGTTGTTTTTGCTTTAGTATTGAAACAAAAAGTAAAAAAATATAAACGACAACAGAACTTTAACATCTGAATATGAAATAAAAATAAATAAGGATAACAGAAAACAAAGTAAAGCAAAATAAGGAAAATATAAGAAAAAGAAAAATTAAAAAAAAAAGGATATTTTGGGCAAAAGAAGAAAAGCAAAAGACAAAGAAAAAAATAAAAGATAAAAAGTAGCTAGTGAAATTATCTGAAATTTATTGCAATGTTACCCCAAAAGCAATCAGTTTTTATTTCATTTTTATTATATTTCCCATCATGATTTTTTTGCTTGAACGAATTTTTATTGAGCTTCTTCTCTACTTCCTCTATACACACACATATACACAATATAATATAAACTTTCTCTACATAAATTAATATAGAAAAATTTTTATAAGAAAAGGAACCAAGGGATGTAAAAACCGGGAATAATATTAAATCAATTTAATAAAATGAAAAATAACAAATTGAAATCCTTTATTTTGTAATTATTTTCAGATTTCTTTTTTTTTCCTTAATAATTTTTCTTTTAATTTTTTCTATTTTATTGCTATCATTTTCTGAAATTCCAAAAGTGAATCTTTAATTTACAAAATTATTTGTCGTACAATTCATTCAATGATTTCTTCGAAAAGGTTTTAATCTTTTCAAAATATAAAAATTTAAATGAACCGTGAACAATTTTGTAAGAGTTTGAGTGTTTGATTCCCTTAGAATTTATTAGAATTATGTTAAAATTATTATTGCTATTAGTTTTAAAGGAAAACTGTTCAGTTTTAAGAACCTTTAATTCAATCTTCTTAGACTTTTAATTTTAAAGTGATTTTTTGACATCAAACAATGTTCGGTTCCCTTATCGAATATTTCTCTAAAATAATCTACTAATACAAATTATTAGTTATTATTAATACAATTACTATTAATAATAATTATAATATTTACACTAATACTTACACTATTACAATTATTATTAATACAGTTAGTCATTATTGAGAGAAATTTTAAATTAATGCCATTATCATTTTTATTTTCTAAAGAGAAATGAATTTTGAGATGAGACATTACCATAAAATTTTAAGAGACGTTTTCTTACGCCTGGAAAGCAATTCAATTTTATTAAAATGTTGTCGTGCATGTTGATTATGAAAAATGATTTTGCGAGTCAGTCATGCATTTTGGCCTTACAAGTTGATCATGCATGTTGGTCATGAAAATCGATCATTAAACTTGGTTACATTGTTACGAACATTGATACATGTTGGTTGGGCAGCATGTTATATGATACATATTGGTCATGCAAGATTGTGATGGAAATCGGTAACGTTTGTTGATCGTGCATATTGGTCACGTAAGCTCATCACACAAGTTGGTCACACATGTTGGGCAAGCAAATTGGTTATTCAAGTCACTCATACATCTTGCTTATGCATGTTGGTCACGCATGTTGATTATGTATGATTTTAGAAATCAAATTGGTCATATACAAACATATTATGTTGTTTGAACAAATTTGTCATGTAATTTGGTCATCATGTTAGCAATGAGATTTGATCACGCAATTTCATTATGCATGTTGGTCATACCGATTGTTGAAGTAATTTCCTTATGTGATTACAATTTTCATTTTAAAAAGTTAAATTTTTCGTTAAGTCAAGCAATTTTTTATTTAGAAATTTTTAAAATTTTAACAAAAGTAATATTAAACTTTTATAGGTACATACATTCATACTATAATAAATGAAAATACATAAAATGTTCATATATAAATATTTAAAAAAAATTAATTTTCTGAAATCAGGTTTTTAGAAACTCAAATTATCAACTCTAAAACTAAAACAAACTTTTCGAACTAAAAATTATCAAAAACAAAAGAACAATAAAAAAAATCTCAAACTTTCAATTTCCAATTTGTGTATGAATTTAAGAATTTTTTGTAAATATTAATTGAGTTTATTGCAAATTTATAAATTAAAATAAAAGTTATAAATTGCGAAAAATCTATTAAAGCGGAAATATTTTAAAAATTAAATTTAGATTTATTGAGACCTTCAATCAAACCAAACAAAATGTTTAGCCTATTTTACGAGTTTTCATTATCAAACATTGGAAATCCTTTAACATTCTAATGCTTAGTTTATTTATGTTTATGCATATACGAGCAGTGTTTATTGAAGGGTACAAAAATTGAAAATTCGATTTGTAATCGATATTCGAGGTCGATGAAAAATATACTCTTATATGTTATACCCTGATAACTACCCGTATCAATAATTTATTGACTAACTCAAAACTAATTGAATATAGCTTCACAAACTTAGTTCACATTTGAAATAGCAGTTCAGGTAGCTGCTAACCATAGAATTTGAAAGTAAATTGGTAATCTCATGTCGAAAAAAAATTAGGGCTGGCCATACAAGGTATTCAAAATATCTGAATTTTATTAGTATTCGAGATATTTGCTTCATAATGTTTATGAACGAAAAATTGAAACCTTTTTTTTTCAGTAATTTTTATATAAAATTTACAAACTAAACTACGTTGTGTTTTACAAGATAATCTTGCATTAGATCTGGTATTGTACAAGTTAATAAAGATAATATTCAGAACAAATCATACATGCTTTTTCACGATGTTGTACATTACTAACGTAGTACGCAAGAGCTGTACTATGTCCAATTTGTCTTTCAAATAATATTTGGATTTAAATGGCCTTGCAGTACTTGATATTAAACGAAATTCCTAAAAATCTATATGCATACCTACATATACTAAAAAATAAATTTACATTGGGAAAAATTCTCATCAAATGCACGATTTTTTTTTTCTACTTTTCCCAACCTAGGATAAAGGTTAATGGAAAGTATTTCCTTTCAAAAATAATATTTTAATGTTTTTTACGCTAATTATTATTATACCAAAATATCTTTTTTCATTTTATTACTTTGAAAATAATTAAAGTTTAAAATACTCAGAAAATATTAACATTAATAAAAACATTAGAAAACTTTCTAAAATTTCTAATCCTTGTAATTTCCGTTTAAAATAAAATAAGGATAATCTAAAATTTGAATATTAAAAAAATATGAATTTTCATTTTTCCTTTTTTTCTTATAAGATGAATAAAAAATATTTTATATAATTAAACTTAAATTATAATTGATTGATTTTTATATTAATATTTTCAGATTCAATTATACCCATGGGAAAAACCTGGTAATAATGAGAGAACGAAGATGTAATATAATTTTTTTTTTTTGGTTCATCATCAACTAGCTATGTACTAGGATATTTTAATAATCTGAAATTGGAAATTGATTTTATGAAGGAAGGAAATATCAGATACTCGATGGTTCAATGTTAATAAAATTAAAAAGCTGCCTTTGTCAAACCTATTTGCAACAATAATTATTATGGGTTGTTATATTGACTTAATTAATAGTGTCGTGTCAAAACATAACACTAATGAATATAAATATTTTCTTTAACATCAAATTGTATTTAAATTAAAATTTCAAGAATATTAATATTCTGTATGTATGTGCAATATAACATTTATTAAAGAAGCACTGTACTTGAGTTGAAATTACGTTGTGTGCTAATAAATAATATTATAAAATTAAAATAGAGTTATTTGGAAAATTTCTAACATTAAAGTATACTGAATGGAGACCTTAAATATTTTTGTTACTCTATATTTTTGGAATGTAATCAAAACCAAAATCAAAATGTAATAAACAAAATGTTAGTTGGTTCAAGAGGAAAATAATAAATTGCAATTTTGGTTAAATTGATTATTTGTATTCGACATGCAATTTTCTACTAGGAGGGATATACGGTTGTTGCGTCGTATAAATGAGAGCTATGCCTCTGTTTCGTAAGGAATTTGGTTGTAACTATATTAATCCTGCCCTTATTTTGTTTTATGTTAAATTTTTTTAAGGTTTGTAGTATTTATTGCTTTATTTATTGCTGGTATTTAATATCGAATATAATTATTGACATTAAATGAACCATTTTAAATATAATAAATAATACCACTACGCTTTTCACACTGCTTAATGATACTGAGTCAAAAATTGTAATAATATTTTCGGCGATGAATTTGATCAATTGTAAAATAAATATAGTGATAACGAAAAAAAATCTGATGTGCTCAGCACATAACCGACCGCATTGTGTATTGTCTAGTTAAATGAAAATGTTACAGAATATTATAAAAATGTCTGTTAAATACTTCTTTCCAATTTTTAGGACATTAGTAAGCTTATAGTTAGCATACCTAGAAAAATGTAAATTTGGCTTTTAGTAGAGTTTCGCTTTGTGCTACCCGAATTCCCTGAAATATTCGCCGGCTAGTTTCGGTAACAACCAGAACTCAAACATCAAATTTCAAGAAACTCCATCAATTCGTTCCGTAGATATGGTGAAAAATGTAAAATCGGCCCGCAGATCAGTTTTCTAGCCCTGATCTTTCCAAAAAATGTACATGTTCGTTGTTTTAGTACGAGGAATTCAAATATTAAATTTCAATGAAATCGGTTGATTATTTCTCTTTATATACACAAAAATGTATATTTGGCCCGTAGTAAACGTCTAGTTGCCGATGCCTGATTTCTTCCAAGATATAGGAATTTTCGCGGACGGTCGAGCTGAGCTTATATATAAAATTTCAAGTAAATCGGTTGAATATTTTCTTCAAAATGTTCAAAAATGTAAAACAGGCCCGCTAAAAAGTGCAGTTCCCGAGACCTGATATATACCAAAAGTTGATCAATCCGTGCCATAGTGGAAATAAACTTACATATAAAATTTCATCAAAATCGGTTAAGCCGAACTTGAGATACACGCGTGCACACACAGACCGACAGACCAACAGACCGACAGACCGACAGGTTGCTAAAAATAGTTTATTTACACTTCCCTACTATGGAGAAGTACGTTCCCACCGAAAACTCGATATGCAAAATTTTGTTGCCATCACATAACCTACCTATTGTTAACACAATACGGTCGATAATGAACCAAATTAGTTTTGATTATTATTCCATTCTTTAAAATTAAATTGCATATTACAAGGCGAATTTTATTAAAAAATAATGAATGAAAAGGAACTGTAATATATCTAATTTAATAAACTGTCTATGAAAGAACAAATTCACATCATCTCTTCAAAAGAGAGAAAATAGTTTCAATTTATGGTGACCTTTTCAGGTCTTTTATAAAATATTTTCCACAAATTTAAGAATTTTTTAAGTTGGATTACGAAATTATCTGATTAAAATTGACAAAAAATCCTTTTTACTTTTTATTATTAAAGGTCATAAACTCGTACATATTCTAATGGCATACAAAAAGTGTGCCATTAGAAATTTATGTTCCATTCATTGGATACACATAATTCTGATGGGGTTTTTTTAAAATTTATCTCAATAGAGAAAGAAATTTACGACAATAAGAAATTAATTTACGACATTTATATGAACGCGTATTATGTAAAAAATCAAATTATTTAATTCATATTAACAACAAGATTTTTATTTTGAAAATTCATATTTTTGAAATATCAGTTCTTATTGGTTTTGTGGTTGAATACCTACTATACACAATATTACATTTATACTACACTTACTATACTTTTGTGTACGTATACATAAATTCATTGCGTGTTTTATTTATTTGTATATTTACTCTCATAAGAGCCTAACACTTTGAGACCGCCAATGATGTTAAGCATTTTAAAACCATATACTTTTTTAACAGATGTAGGCAATAACACGGTTTAGGATGTATAACTTTTAAAGTATAATTACGTCTTACATGTATACAAAACGTCAAAAACCATAATATTATCTTAAAATATAAGGACCCTCTCAGTATAGGTTATACAGTATATATGAAAATATACAAACATTAAATATTCTTACCACATCACCACAGTTCAAGAAAATAGTAATTATTTACCAATTTATATTTTTTACTTATAATTGAATATTAAAATAGGTGTGCGGTATATTTATATATAAAGTATTATATATACATGTATGAAGTATATACTTTTATAACCTTCATGTTATATTTCTTATACGCAATATGACACTTTCAGATTCAAGAATCAAACATAATTTCAAATTTCATTTATAATACAGTTAAGTTGAATAAAACATTCAAAAAACACACCCAATTCCATTATACATGTACATGCAAGGAAGATTAATGGAATATTTACGCTCATGTATCAGTGTTGCCATTACAATAAAGGATAATTTTTATTAACATAACTTTTAACATTAATGGTATAAATATAATTTGATTACGTTTAAGTAACTTGTACAGGGTGAACCTATAACGGGGTATAATCTCTCGGGGACAGAAGAGTTCAACAACTTTATGAAAAAAATCGTTTCTGGGGGAGAGAATGCCTCTGAGAGATTAGATCACGTTACAGGTCCCTATGTATGTAAAATTGTTTTATACTTAAAATTTACCGTAAAATTTTAATAGGTAACATAGTAAGAATTAGTTACCCTATAATATTAATCAATAAAATTTAAAATTTATTTATAAGAAATAATGTACTTGTATAGTACTTTCTTACTTAAAGCACTACCATATTTTGTATGTACATGTATATATATACAAATATAAAATTGTAATAAGTATTTTTACATTGGTCACGTTTACGATAAGAATTAAGTGCCATTTTATTTTGATGTACGTGATTTGTGACAAATACACTCTTATATGTTCTTTAACCACAGAAAATATAAATTCAAACTTTTTGTACATACAAACATACAGAATATATAAATTCTTACATAATATTATGTATTATAAAAATCGATGCTCTCTAGAGATTAGATGATTTATTTGTTACCAATAAAGTTAAATTTAAAAAAAAAAAGAACTCTTTACTTTTTATCATGTCACATAATATGAAATATTATTTTATTTTGTATAAGTGACCGCCAATAAGATTTAATTTATTTTAAATTTTTATTTGATTTGAAATGAAATTTTCGTTATTAAAGATTTACACCGAGGAATTTAAAGATTAAACCTGGAAATAAAACATATATATATCTACGAGTGTGTATGTGTACAGAGTAATAAATTTAAAAATTTGTTTTAATATTATTAGAATTTTGAAATAAAATTAAATTTGGGAATAATAATAATTTATTATCCCTTTTGTGTACGATTATGGATTAATTTCGATGTGAATAAAAATTTTCATCTTTTAAAAATTTTATAGCAAGTAGGGGGAAATAATGTAAAATTCTCTTATGTAATGAAGAGTAAAAAATATTTTGAAACAAAATGTGAAAAGAAACGAGAATAGGAAGAGTTGACCGTGTCAAGTTTGCGATATCCGTACGAATCAATGATTTTAAGCGCTGTATTTTAATTGCTTTAATGTTTTACACATACTCATGGTTTTTATATATGTTTAAAAATGCGGAGCATTTTAGGGAATTCGAGTAGCACAAAGCGAAACTCTACTTAGATCCAAATTTATATTTTTCTAGGTATGTTAACTATAAACTTACTAATGTCCTAAAAATTGGAAAGAAGTATTTAACAGCCATTTTTATAATATTCTGTAACACTTTCAATTAACTAGACAATACAAATTGCGGTGGGCTATGTGCTGATCACATCAGATTTTTTTGTTCGTGTAATTATCTTCTCATAAATTTTATGAATAGCATCTACAATTGCGCGTATCTTTCGATAAAATTGAATTTCCTTGAATTTTTTTTCCATTATTGTGGAATAGTTCCGTTTTAATTTTGTCTGAATTAAATTGTAAAATATTTTCATTATTTATTAATATTATTTTACATATACAAACTCACATATGTCAATATCTATATTTAAATACTATTATCTTTGCTGTAGTGAAATGAAAAAAAATACAAAAGCAAGTACAAAACCATTAATTATAAAGAATCTACATACAATTCAGAGCAGATGTTTCCTTTACATCTGACACTTTTCCACATACATATTATATGTTTTGCTTTCTATTCTAAAATATTTATTTTAAAATCTTATAATATTTTGTTGATAACAGTTTTACAGTTTTCATCGTTTCAAATAAGGATGAGATAAAATTTTGCTATACATATAAAGTCTGTGTGTTATTACATGCTTAGCTCCGTTTCTCCATTAATATACTTATTCTTCCTTTCTTTTATGAATAGAATATGATTTTAATCCTTATTCTATAAAGCATTTGTATATTTTGTTCTTACAATCGGTGAACAACATATTATATTCTTAGCATTTGGATGCATGTGCACAAAGAATATATTATTTTATATAATAATATATGCATTTTTCAATGGTTCACTAAATTTAAAATAAAAAGGAGTAATAGCGGATTTCTCCTTTTCAATGTAATTAATATTATTTATAATTCTCTCTATATACATACATATATGCAATTTAATTGAATATATTTTTTCTATATTGTATTTAAATAGAGCAGAAATTGTTATTGCCTATAACTAAAATGCAATACAATGAATGTTAGAATTAGATAATAAGTGTAA